AACTGGTAGCGCATAAGAATTGAAATGATGAATAATTGTATTATTGTCACAAGATGATAGGGTTTTTCCCCCCCAAATAAAATATGAGAAACTTATGAGAATGAATTTTATAAATTGCTTTAAAAATAGTATGACCTATATACTATATTTTAAAACATAGTCCAGATACAAATAATGTATACAGTGAGGTTTGATATTTTTAATAAGTCAAAATTATACCCAAAAGTGGTGATTGGTTATTTGGGGGTTTTGGGTTTTTTTGTTTTTTTGTTTTTTTATGAATTAGAAATATAAGAAACATAAGATAATTTACCAACACAAGTTGAAATCCGATTTGTAAATTTTTTTCTTCCTAAATCAAATAATGCCATCCCTATCTCGCTGTATTTTAATTAGCAGAGGTTTTTTTGGAAATGGCATGGTACATGCTCATGCGATGACTCAAAATGTTACGTGGCCTGCAATTTTCTTTCGGGGAACAGAACACTCTAATTCAAATCCATTATTAAAAAAGCAGATAACATGTGCACTTTCTGAAATGCCTGTGACTTCACTCTTTGGATTTTATGTAATTATGAGAGAATGTTCGTATGTATTTGCTTTTCAACTAGCACTGCATTTTTAAGCAGAGTGTCTTCAGATAAAGTGCATATTTTCTTTTCGTTCATAAAGAATATCTCTGGTTTACGTGCTCAAAACTTTTGTGAATGTTTTATAATGCAGTCACAGAGCCAGTGAGAGCTGCGCTTCCGACCAGAATTTCGATGCGGGCCCTCTGTATGTAGAGGAGAGAATATTAGATATTAGTTTGGATTTTGAAATTAATAATTGCTAACTAGGTCCTGTGCCTTCCACCGTGTCATTTTGTAACCCTTATTCGTTCTCAAGAAAAACTTTGAACTCAGTCTTTTTTAAACTCTGCAGCTCAAAGTAAATACTTTTTCATTAAAACTAATTTCAGTCCACAAAAAAAAAGAAAAAGAAAGAAATAGGGAACACATCGCCCACTTAAAAACAGTTTAAATGACAAGAAATAAATAAATAAGCAAATAAATAAATACAAATTGCATGTACTTTGTCACTGTAAGTAAACAAGGTAAACATTGACATAACTTCCAATTATTCTTGGGTTGGAAAAAAAATGTGCAGTTCAAAATAAAATTCCTCTTCTGGTCAGCGTTTTGGATGCAATTCAAAGTGTCTCATAAAATAAACATAGTTAAAGCGTGTTTTGAATTTCTCTGCATAAATCCTAGCCAACAGAAATGACAGTGGTATCTTTCAGGTTTATTATGTCAGACCAGTAGCCATTATCCAGGACGGACCCAGCCTTTGAGGTGCCTTCCCTTCCCTCTGCTTAACCTCCCTGCAGTGGTGTGTGTGTGTGTGTATGTGTGTGTGTGTGTGTGTGTGGAAGGGGGGCCCCTGTAGGTGGTCCTTGGGGAAAGCCTGTCACACAGTGAAACTTTCTGGTATCTTTGTTTAATAACAAAAGTATTCTCTTCTGATAAAATGGAAAAGAGAGCTGCATGTTTTAGTCCGGAAAGCAAAATGTTGATGGAGGTGATCTTCATGAGCATTTTTCAATAAGAGGGGGACCAGTTTCCCGTTCTGCACAATAACAAGTTGTTTGGAGGCACTAGCTACAAAATGAAAATGCCCCATCACAACAGATTGTAAATCCCCCCCCCCCCCCCCCACCGATGCTTTGAAAAGTGCCTCGATCATTCCTCCGGCTGCAGCGTCGAAGTTAAGTATTTGCTATTTTATTTAAACATTTTTGAGAAATGAACATTCCGGGGCTTCGCAGCGTTATTAAGAAAAGCTGCCCATACTTCACCATGCTGTTACATGTGTTTATCTGCTGATTATAAAATGTGTTAAACAGTATTTTAAAAACAAAAAAAATGCAGAACTGCGCTTTGATTAATTCAGTGAACAAAACATATGCTGTCGGTTCTGTTCTATGAAATGCATATATGATCGATAAAATCTTTTAAAAGAGCAACTTTTAGGCTTTTAGGCTTGTACTGCCGACCATGATTTTCACCCCAGCTAGCTCCGGGCTCATACTGTTCACTTAGGCTAACCAAACTGCTTTCTGGTTATGGCAGGAATGTCTTTTTAATATATCCTTGTCCTCTTTCTAACACTTCTTTAGGTTGGAAGCTGTGTGCTGTGGTTGTTACCCACTTTGTCCCAAAGATTTGGTTTATCCTGAAATATTTCCAGGTAGCTGCTTTAATGTTCTTTCGTCTGTGTTGGGGTTTTTTAATACGTGATTCGCGCTAAATGCGAAAGTTTGAAAATAAACTTAGGCAGGAGCAATTGTTTATTTGGCAAGTCAACATGTTAGTGTTGAGGAAAATTTTATGTTTTAATACATTAGAGTAAGCTTATATTTACCATCTGTTCTTTTAAGATAACAAAAAAGCAAGTTTTCAAATAGCATTCTTCATTGTTAGCATACACACCCCATACTGATGGGTTTCTATAAGCAGGTCCGCATTGCTGCAATTGCTTACAGATTTTTTAATGATATACACAGAGAAAAATCGAGGACTGAGAGTCACACCAAATTATTTAAACAATTGACTAGTTAATAACATGCAACTGTTGTACAGGGCACAAACGGCAATAGTACCAGTTCTTTAGGAAAAAAAAAAAGAAAAAGAAAAGAAACCTCATCACTAAATATATCACATATGCATTGTGTTACATTAGAATAATGTATTTTAATCACCCAAAGGAGATGTCTAAACAGCACAACTACACAGTCTTATTTAGCATTAAACATCCTTGTGAGCCGAGGTAACCTTATAAAATCATGCTTAAATAATGTAAAACACGAGGCAGCACAGAGCAATATGCATTTTTAATTAGTAAAGTGACTAATATCGAGTGTGTGCTTTGAGGTTTTTGTTTCATTAAAAATGTATCTGTTTTTCCTGCAGCTGAATATCTGTATTCTACACCTGAACAGCTTTCAAAAAGGCTCCAGAATTTCTGCAAGAGACCTGATATTGTGAGGAAACATCTCTATAAGGTAGTTATTGAGAAGCGATGTAGGCAGTATAAATGCCATATTGAAGTACAAAGAAAAAAAAATCTTAAAAAAAAACATTTAATTAACATACTAATGTTTAAAGGAAACATGCTAGGGAGGGATATTAGTTGTTACACTAACAAGGATTAATTAAACTGGATGCCAGTTGTATTAACCTAGGTCTTATGAAATACGTGCACTTAATGCACGGTGCATGCTTTTTTTTTTAATTTATTGTTTTCTAAGATGACTGTCCTTTACATTTAGCCCCAAGAGGCTTATAAAAATGAACCTGGATTAATGTAACTCATTAGTTTAAAAGGAAGTAAAGGAGAGATTCTACAATTATACTAATGAGGATAAGCCTTTCTTCCCATCCTAATGAAATCTTCAGTCCTCAAAAATTCAGGTGAGCGACGTTAGTGAAGTTTGGTGTTCATTTTTAAACTATTGCAAAGATGACTTTCAAGAATCAAATATTTCCTTCGCCCAGTTTAATAAAATAACATTAAAAACCCTCCGTTTGTTTTGAATTAGACTGTCTGTCTCCTCTCTAAATGGCAAAGGCAAAGGGAACATAATTTAAATAGCATCATCGTTCAGTCCCTTTATTCATTATCTTCCCTTGTTTGAATCAAGAATTTTACACTGTGGAAACAACAACACAAAGAGGGCCCACGAAATGTGTGAGTAATTGAACTGGGATAAATCTGCTTTATGATTTTGAAGGTGGCTCTAGGCCATGAGTGATATACCTTTTTATATTCTTTGAATGTAGCATCTTCATTTTCCATAAATTTAGTATAGTTTACAACCTAGCAGTTTTATAATCCGGCACATTTTAATTTTCCTATGTTAATGTATAACCTGCCTACAGGAAATACAGTTTGCCTCCTTGTATCTCTCCTTTCCCTTTCGTGGCCTAAAATACATATTTACATAGCAATACATCAAAACGTGACTTTGTTTCTGCAGGAAACAGTTAAACTTCAAGAAAAAGGGAGAGAACCAAAAATGCAATTTAACACCCAATTTCAAGCTCATTATCTTTCATTGTCTATTAACTTGGCAATGGTTCAGAAGGTAGCTCATAATAGTTTAAAATGCTGACTGAACAGTTCCAGGCTTCAGTGTTACTCTTGAGTCAATACGATTGTGTCGTGTAAGTCGGAGCCTCCCACAGAAAACAGTCCGTTCCAGTTTTATGTCCAGAGTTCCTGATTTTTAAAGTTTAGTGGTGGTCTTGTTTGTATCCAATATTAATCAAGTTGTTTCCCACGTGACAGACTATCAAAATGTGCAGATTATAAAAACTGAAGAAGCAGAATAATAAGTATTAATATAAATGGATTCATTTGTTATATATGACACCAAACTATTGTCAGTGAGTTCACCATCAAATTATTGATATTTTTTCCCCTTCTGGTGAATTTTTTCCAGTGTTATTGAGATATAATTGATATGCAGCAGTTTCATATATTATAAAATGATTATCATAAGTTTAGTTATCATCCATCATCTCATATAAATACAAAAAAAAAGAAATTTTTTTTTCATTGTGATGAGAATGGTAAATGGTAAAGTATTGATCATTGTATTTCCACGGTCAAAATTTATCAATTTTTAACTTTGCTTCAAGTTACACCATTATTTTGCATCTGCCAATTTTTAACCATTTCAGAAGGTACTGCAGCAAGTTGCCTTTAGTTACAAAAGGCAACAGATCTCCAGATGAAATATTTTAATACATCTACTGCTATAACGTAGCTATCAGTTATTTATTGTACAAACAACTTCTGGAAAAACTCTAAAACAGTGTCAGCTTAGTGATATGTTGTTAATACCGCTTGGTCCTCAGACAGCTTAAAAAATAACCTATACCTTACATGTTATTTTGTTACTACTTTTACATATATTTTTAGTCAGTACATCATAACATGCTTTTTCTCAAAGTTTTAAAAATTAGTATTTCATACATAAATATAAGAACTTATATGTATAATTTATTTGTATAACTTTTTGTACCATGGATTCTTTTCTTATAAATCTATTATATTTTTTCATGTATGCTCTCATTCATAGAATCTGATGATATTTATCTAAAAATTAATGGAATGGCCCAGGAATTATAAGTAATTAAGAGCTTTAATATGCAATTATCAGGAATAACTGGTAAAAATGACAGGAAATACCATAGGGTTAGTGTGGTTTTTGTAGCAGGATTTAGAGCCAAAGGAGAAAAAGAATGGCTTTTAAAACTTTATAATTAAGATGTAAAGTTATGATATTTTTTTGACTTATGTTTTATAAGTATATATTTTTTTTCAGGTAACATTTGCCCTCACTCAGTACCAAGGAATTATTTTCCCTAAGACAGCTTTTTACCTACTTTTCTTATGCAATGGAAGAGTCTTTTGTGTGTACTGTAAAAAAAAAAAAAAAAATGTTGAGGGTGGGTTTTTTTCTTAGATTTATTCCATTGGAGAGTGCTATTTTGCTTTTATAAGACATATGCTTCTGAGAGCTAAAAGGATAGAATATCACTGAATTTTTAAATTTGCTCCTTTTACATTTTTACACCTTTCTCTTTTTTTGTTAAAAGTTTACATTTTAAAAAAAATCATCTCCAATGCTTATCATATAGAGTTCACATTAGGATAGAATTTTTCATATGGATTCACACACTTGGAAATTTAATGACTAGAATAAGGCTACTAACACTTGGCTTTCTTCTCACATGAGACATTATATTTTCAATCTGAGTGAGAGTTTGGGGGCTATACCGCAAAGCAGGATTTGAAACAGAATGCTGAAACAGTAACTGGAAAGCAGAAACGGAATTTGATACTTTTTTTTTCTTAAAGTGACTCTTTCTACTACAGAACACAGTTAGGTGAATACAGACTTCTCACCTAAAATGGTTTCAGACTCGAAATGTTTAAATTCCTCTGAATGCAGTGTCCTCTCCTCCCTCTCTCTCTCTCTCTCTTTCTCTCTCTCTCTCTCTTACACACACACACACACACACACACACACACACACACACACATTTTTCTTAAGACCTTAAGAACAATCCAATGCCTACAGAAACTGTTTATTAATTACATTACAATCTAAAATATTTTTTAATCTTAAAAGTTAAAACTATTTCTTTAAAACATTTACATCCTGGCTTAGCTGTTCACTGCAGCTTTCTGGTACGTTTCCCATTCTACGTAGGTTAGACACATTGCCACACACTTGTCACACAGATAAAATAGGAGCCCTTTATGACTCTCAGACCTCACTTGAACACAAGATTCCAGAAGTAATCGGAAAATAATTAGCCAAGGGTTGACTTCTTACACTAACAATAGTTCTTCCTTTTGTAACCCAAGCAAATCTAATGCCATGAAGTTGTAGGTTTCTTTTGCCTTATTTTTGCTATGTGAATTTTCTTTGTAAATATCCTAACAAGTATTTGAGATTAGTGCTTTATGCTTTTAGGAGAACCTTTGATCTTTATATTTTAAGATGCTGTAAGAAAAAAAAAAGGTTGTATGGAGACATCCCTGTTACCAGTATTGAAAATAGGGCAGTTGTAGAAGTAGGTACTTCCCAGACAGAAGTCCTATCTCTTGTTACTTTTATTTACGAATTGAGCAATGTTCTGTATGAGGGTAAAAGAGATGTCATCCTTTCTTGTGCCTTAAGAAAGTGACTTGTAGTTTAAGATTTTTCAGAAAATAGTTGTTGATTTTTTTTTCCTCTTCAAGTTTCAGAAATCTTTATAACCTACTGTTATTTGGAGGAGAGAAGAATTATCTGACTTCTGCCTAAAAGTGAATCCAAACAATGATGAAGCTTATAATTCAGACTCAGTGCCCAGAAAAGCCATTAGCGGTTGTCTTAATTGGATCAGGCCATAGCTGCCCGAACCACAGCCAAGCCACTTTAAGTTTCCGTGAAGAGACAGGCCACATTATGGTCCCCTTTTAATTTGAACTTATACTCTAGATATGAAGAAGGTGTTGCTCACTAATATTAACAGCTCCCCACACTCGCTACCTTTTTTTTAAAGATGGAAACTTTGAAAGCCTGTACCACTTTTAGAACTTCTGAAATCTCTCAGCCACATTAGCATCATTTAAGGTGAATTCTCTCAGTCCCCTTCCTCCCTCTTCCCTACTCCTCCCTCTCTCTTTCACTGCCTTCCTTGACTTTATTGGGCCTAGTTATCCTTTGATTTGTCTAAGTAAAATAAAAGTAAAAAGAACCTTTAGCACAATAGACACCCACTCTGGGTGATTCAGATCCCTTAGAGATTTTGACTCCTTGTCTTCTACTGCTTGCTTGCAGCCTAGTCCGAGGTGAACCCCTATATGATTCATCTGTAAACTTGGAAGGCTTTTCTTTTCTCTTAATTCTTAATAGCATGTTCCCCCTGAGGTACTGCTCTAATGAAATAATGACTATAAACCTGTGAGTAAACTTGAAGTGCTTTGTAAACTCCACGCAATTGTAATGGCATTTTTCTCCTGCCTTCACCACTTAAAAGTAAAATTCGCATTAGCAAAAACATGCATATCTTGTGTTTATAAAGTTAAACGTTGGATGATAAACTTCTAATAGCTGTCATCCGTCACATAAAGCAGGAAGTATATGGGCAGCAGAATGTACACATTTGGAAAGCACACACACACACACACACACACACACACACACACACACCGGGAGCTTTCTCCTGGGCTTGGAAATAGTTCTACTTGAAACCAATCAGAAACTGGGGTTTCCTGAGGTGATAAAACTGGAGAACCACTTGTTGGGTGGCTTTTTGAAATCCAGTTGATGTCCATAATGCAAACGTGCATCATGCATGTCCAACGTGCCTTAGTGTCCAGGTCGTTCATACGCCTCCCTTGCTTTTTCTCCTTCCCCTCGCAGGGTGAGACGGCTCCTTTCTCCTGGGAGGCCCTGCGTGGCCAGTTCAGGTCTCTGCTCGCCCCGGAACCAGGCGAAGGTCTGTGACAGATGGAGCTCCGTCCCCACCTCGCAGCCTCAGGCAGAGTCTGTGGAACTTTCCAGAGTATGCCCATATTTACCTGATCAGAGAGAGAAGAAAATCTGCAGAGGAAGCCGAGCCTGGCTGCTTGTCATAGCTGACACAGAGCCATCTGCCACAAACCTGTGGCGGCTTCAGATCTCCAAACCCTGCCACCACCCCGACTCAAATTAAACACAGATTCCGAGAGACTTTATGATGGTTACACATGTCCTCGGCATCACATGGAGGAGACTGTTCAAAAAAAAAAAAAAAATGTGGCCTGTTGTATAACCGCGCTCATGTATCCCATATGTGGTGCCACATTGAATTTCCGGTTGGATCCGTTTTTATCCTTTGTACTGGATGACATGGTGCCTGAGTTCTTTCTTTTCGCCGACACGATGGCAGCCAAACGGCAGCTTCAAACGCTCGCACTTGGCTGGGTTCCTACCTGGGGTGCCAGGGTGTCATCGGCAGTGTCCTGTCCTCCTCCGAGGGCCACGGCTCTGCGCGAGGGTGGGGTGACGACACCCCGGGCTGATGGGCGCTGCTCTCTCTCCCTCCGAGGTATGCGTGGCACAGGGATGCTTTAGCCCTTCTCTTTAGCACATGGCTCTCTGGCACAGGGGGTTGTGAGTGAAGGTATGCATGAGCGGTCCGGGGTTCAGAGTCACATTTGTGTTTCATTTCTCTGAAAGAAAGTGGCAAGGTAAACAGCTGTAATTCCAACCAACATGGGGAAGACTCGGAGTGGGCCAGCTTGCCCGTCAAATGATACTTGTTTTAATTTTTTTTTTCATGGGCAAAGAACAGAGAAATGAAAATACTTAGGACAAAACCAGTACTTTTGATATAGGTAATCCTTGAAAATATTCGGATTCAGTTACAAAGCTAGTATTTTTAGGATCAGTCCCTTACCATGCCAACACTGAAGTTGCCTGCATTTGTTGATGGAAAAGGTGTTTTGTAAGATAAATCTTTAATAAAACATGCCCTCTGCCATGTTTTAATAAGCATAGCTCCTCTTCGTGTCATTGTGTGCGTACGTCTGTCTGTTTCTCACTGAACACTGGCCTTGGGTCAAGAGACAGCGAATACAATGGTTTCTTTTCCGGAGGAACAAGGATCTGTTTTGCAAATGTTTGTGAGATATTATGACATTTCCAAAATTTTCTTTGCATTCTGGAAAGCAGGAGGTAAACATTTGTAGTCATTAAGGTAAAGTCTGTTGATAAACCATCTTCTGTTTACTGACAGGTAAATTGTAACTTTCCTGGCTTTTGCAAGGAGTTACTTCCATACACTGTGGCTGAGGAGCAGCCAGGAAGAGGAGGGTGGACAAGGCCCTGAGTGGTCCAGAGGCATTCAGCCAAGAGCAGGCAATGGTGTGAGGTCCCGGAGGGCCCCTGAAAGGTAGCAAGCCATAAGCAGGCAATAGTTCAAGGTCAGGTGGATGGGTAGACGCCTGGGCACAGGGGTGCTTGTGGGTCACCGGAAGCAGGAGTTCAGGATCCACGAGAAAGACTCAGAAGCAGATACAACCAGGTCCATGTTTGCACAGAGAGTCCTCTCCTAATTAGTGTGGGATCCCAAATGCATGCTGGACCTAGACTGTGGAGAAGTCCCTGAACAAACTCCCTCCTCACCCACAAACCAGAGGGTTCGGGGATTATTTCAAAAGTCCCTTCTATGTAATGCTGTGGAAGTTGTCATTTGTCAGGTGGGCTCCTCTGGAGTACAAAAGTGAAGATATCAACAGGCATCAGCGATTCTGAGACACTCCTCCAGGGCAGTGTTTGTCGCTAAGGAGATGAGTTGCGCCAGTAAGCTTGCTCCTTCATAAAGATCCAAGTCAGAGACCACACCTTCTCAAATCGTATTACAATCTTATAGCCAAGAAACAGGGTTCAGTTTACTGTGTTTTTCTGTCATGAAAACAGTGGCCTCACATTTTTTTTAATGATGAGAGAGAGAGAGAGAGAGAGAGAGAGAGAGAGAGACATTGATTTGTTGTACCACTTATTTATGAATTCATTGCTTGCTTCTGTATGTGCTCTGACCAGAGATCAAATCTGCAACTATGGAGTATTGGGGTGATATTATAACTAACTGGCCAGGGCTAGGGGACATAATAACTCTCCACATATGTTTTCTCGCTAATTGATGGGGGTAAGTGAGAGACATTAACTACCTTTTAAATATTTAAATACTAGAGTCCCGGTGCACAAAATTGGTGCATGGGTAGGCTTGGCCAGTGATCAGGGCCGATCCAGGCCTTCTGGCTGCAGGCTGAGGCCTTCCTTCATTCTGCACTGTCCCCTGGTGGTCAACGCACATCATAGCAGCAGTTGAACTCCCAGTTGGTCAAATTCCCAAGGCAATAATTTGCATATTAGCCTTTTATTATATAGGATTTTCCTGATTTTGACAAATATAGTATTGGAAGTTACCTGTGTATGGAGTTTTTTTCTACACCCACAAACTCAAATCAAGTTTTGTCTTTTGCTGTGGACAGCATTCCTTCCTGAAAATAAATTTATATTAAAGTTGCCACTTTGTAAAACTATATAGTTAGATTTGGTATTAGTGCAAATAAGCAATAAAAAGTTTGTAAATGTGTAATTCTTAACATTTGAAAAAGACAATTCTGTGTGTGTGTGTGTGTGTGTGTGTCTTATGTGCTTCCCAACACCCATGCTTTGGTGGAACAAAATATTATTAAGTAAGTTAATCCATAGTTTGATAAAGTCAGAGAATAATTGAGAATATAAGTTGCCTCTGTAGTTTTTGTTTCCCTTATTCTCACCAGAGACCTGATATTTAAAAATAAATTCATTTCAACAATTTAATTTAAAAGAATAAATTTAATAAAATTAAATGTTTAAAACAAGACCAATATTTTTGACATGTAATGTTCAAGACAAGAGTTTTTTTATCTTTATTTTTTAAAAATTCATCAAAATACAGTGTCCATGATGCTTGCCCTAAATTTACTTCATCTAGGTAATGCTCTGGCTTGGTGTTTCTATAATAAAATAACAGGGCACCTAGTTCTTACCCTACTCATTACACTGTGTTGATCAGGAATAGGCCAAGAGACCTTTCTCAAAATGTACCTGTGTTAATAAGCACCCTTCAAACACGGTCAAGGTTAAGTGCTTTGCTCTCACTCTCTGTTCTTCAGTTGCGCCACATAAAAGTGGCAGCAGATTCAGTAAGTCAGCGGAAACTCCCAGCCATAGAGGGCTGCATAGATTCATTTCAACACCTTGAAATGCATCTGGAAGCAAAGATTTCATTTTGTGTTCAAGGTGTTAATTATATTTGATATTTTTAAAAGTAAAATCTGTTTTTGAGAAAGCATCTGCTACCCAGAAATATTGAAACACAAAAAAATTTTCATTTAAGTTTCATGCTTACTGTGGGTGATAGAATCAGTTTTCAAATGATAGCCTGTGCTGTCTTTTAATGTCGACCTAGTCTTTAAGTTTTATTCTTCTATTGACTACAGACAAGTATAGCTCTAAGTGCCTCTCAGTTTCATTGCAAAATTGAATGGTAATTAATATCAGATTTTATATTTAACAATAAAGTGAATATATTATAAACCACTGGCATGAACATGTTTCATTATAACATTTGAATTGACATACAGGATAACTAATTCTATCTAATAAAGAGGAAATATGCTAATTGACTGCCATGCCCTCAAAGATGATGGCTCCCACAGCCAATAAGGAGGGAATATGCTAATCGATAGTCATGCCCTCAAAGATGGCGATGCCCACAGCCACAAAATGGCAGTGCCCAGTCTCCTCAGCCCTGCTAGGGCATCTGCCTCTGGAATCTCCCAGTTCCTTCAGCCCCTTAGCTGCCCAGGGCTGGCCCAAGGCTCAGGCAAGCCTCAGATGACAGCTGTCCAGCCACCCAGGGCCAGCCCAAGGGACAACCAAATGACTGAACAAGCAGGCTGCATGGGGCAACCAGGCCAGCAGGGGGGTTAGTGAGGGATGACCAAAGAACAACACCAGGGTGCATGGGACAACCAGGCTGCTGGGGGGGGGGGGGGCGCGTGGCTAGAGGGGGGAAGAGGGACATGAGGGGCAACCAGGCTGGCAGGGGGGCAGTTGGAGGTGACCAGACCAGCGGGGGGGGGGGGGGCGCAGTTACGGGTGACCAGGCAGGCGTGCAAGTGAAGGATTAGGAGCCAGTGGTCCAGGATTGTGAGAGGGATGTCCAACTGCCAGTCTAGACCAGCAGTCACACATCCCCTGAGGGGTCTCAGTTTGGAAAGTGTGCAGGCTGGGCTGAGGTGCCCCCACTCACCCCACCCCCCTAAGCCATCCACAAATTTCATATACCAAGTCTCTAGTGTTTGTATAATATCCACCCATCCCCTTTCAAAGCTATTCATTAAAATGTAACTGGAAAAGTTTTAAAACATGCAAACAATTATATGTGCTACTTAAAGATATGCACATATGTGATTAACATGTAACAAAAAAAATGGGAATTAACATAAAAAATACAATGATGGTTAAGTCAGAAGAGCAATGATAGAAATACTAACTGGTAGAGGCACATTCCCTGTACAGTCAGTGGTCTATTTCTTAGGCTGGATCATAGTACTTATCCTTTGTCACTTTTTACATGTCTTTAATGTTGTTACTGGCTATACCTTTTTATTGGAGCTATAAATACTTTGGGAAGCCTATGGTTAATTTTGCTACCATGACATCCTTAACATTTTTTGACTCTAAACAGGTCCCTCAACTCTCAAAGGAAGTGCCCCCACTTTCAGTTTTGCAGGACAACTTCCCCACTCCCCACTCCCCACATGCCCTGAAAGATTCAATACTATGAAGATAGTTGGACTCAACCATCCAAGGGTTCCTTTTTCCCTGGAGCCTCTGATCACTTTTTTGTAACTGACGCCTGTACTGTTATGCAAGATGGGAAACTCTAGGAAAAAGTTAAGTGAGCC